ATGAAAATACTACGTGAAATCTAATTGGCTGAGTGAACTGAACCTAGAATTCTTTTGACAATCAAAGATGGAGCTTTAATTTCTTTCCAGTTTAATAATATTTAGTAATGTTAATGAAATGTAGCCTATAGAAATGGCTAGGAATTGGGTGCTTGGATGATTTGTACATATAACCTCTGTCCAACTGGTTGGTCTGAGCAATTTATCTAAAAACAACATATTATAGCCTATGGCTCTAAAGACTTCATATAAAACATCAATGTTATGTCATAATATGTCAGATACCTCAACTGAATTTAAAATCATTGCAATAAATTCTTGTGGAATGGAAAGATTCCATGGATGTTAAAAGATCTTCATGGAACCACAGATGCTGATAAAGAGCCTGTATTTTTTTGAGTGTAGTGTATAGTACGTCAAGGGGCATGACTAAAGGCTCTGCTCCAAAGGCAATCCCAGAAAGAAAGACGATGTGGGTTCAGTGAAAAATCCAAGGTGATGGACAATGGAAGAAAAATCTACATTACAAAACCAATTTATTACTCACCTAAAACAATTAATAAAACGGTTCAATCTAAATTTGAGTATTTTACCCACGATATTTGCATGTACTATGAATTTATGCTTATAAGAGTGTAACACCATTATCAACACGTCTGTGAATGTCATGTGAACCTATTTGTTTGATGACTATACTGTTTCAAATTGATTACTGTGTAAACATGCACTACACATGCATCTCGTGCATAACACAGCGTTCTAAAAATGCTGTGCTCAATTTAAAAGAAATGAAACGTTTAAAAATCATCTTGCTCGTGACACAGCATTCTAAAAATGTGGCGCTCAAATTAAAAGTAGTTCAACGCTCAACTGATCTTTTCTTCCATATTGTGACGTACATCCGAATGCAACCTACATATTTTATATTGTGAAATAAAATATGTAGGCTTACACTTACTTGTTGTTTGGATTTTGAGGTGTGGGCACAAAAGTTGAGGCAGATAAACATAAGCTTGCAGCATGGGGTTTGAATGGACTAAATGATTGGAAAAATAATGCATACATCGCCAGAGAGAAGTCTAGCAAGACCAGTTCACATTTTGATTAAACAATTGTTCATAATAAGATCTATAACATGCACTTCATTTCATTTCATGTCTTTAAAAGTAGACTCTTTCTGAAAACGAATGTTTGACTTACAGTTTAATATGACGCTGGTCAACATCCGCTCTGGTAAGCTCCTCCTCCTCGATGTCACTCTCTCCTCCCGAACTGCTTTCGGTGGCGTCCGAGTCAAACTGAGCCTCTGTCGCTCGTAAATGCGTGGTGCCGCTGAGATGCAGTTGATCCAGTTCCAAAGCCACCCTACCACCCTTCAAAAACCGACTCAGGTTATGTGCGTGGGTGCCCACGGAAGCGCGAGACCCTCTCCACGCCCCTGGATCCGCCCTGCGGCTAGATGTCGGGGTCAGAGTGCGGTCCACAAAACCAGCAAGTTGCTGTTTGAAATGCCGTTCCACCTGCTTGGCCTGCACCACCTGCAGCCGCTTGCGAAGACGCAGCAGGCGGCCTTCGATGTCCGTTTGCCTGTGTTGGCTCTGCTGAGCCCGATCCCAGAGCAGAGCCTCCAGGTTGGGAGTCGAAAGGGATGAGTCATCGTGGACCGGGGAAGAGCTAAGGGACGAGGGACAGTCGACGACATTGTTACTGTTTGTTTCGACTACCATTCCATCAACGGGACTCTCCGGTTCTGCGTTAACTTCTGCACTTTCAGACAAAGCCGTGAGCTCCCTTTGTGATGACACGCCTTGAATGCTTGGTGTCAAATTCTGTTGTGGCTTCACATCGCCGTTCTGTCCACCGGTTGCAAAGGTACCAACAGACTTCGAGGACACGGATAACAGCGCTTCCCCATTGGTGGAAGGCTGGTTGCTGTCTCCATTCACTGTGGCCACACTGCCTTTCTCAGCCACGGCGGCACTAGGTACGGCCACTTTCTTGGAGAGTCTGTTCACAGGCACCATGGTACTTCCAGCTCCGGTACCGTTGACCAGACTCTTCAGTTGACCTCCAGTCAGCTCAAGTGCGTGGCGCTTGCGCAGCAGGAAGTCGCTGCCTGCAGCAGCGCTGGGGAATATGGAGCTGCTCAGCAGGCCGTGGCTCTTCAGCACCGACTGCTTGATGAGGACACCTTGCAGCTTCAGTGACTCCTTGACTTTGGTGGACGAGGGCAATGGTTTGACATCAGAGCACAAGTAAGGTGCCAGCTTGCCCAGAGACGGGGCTTTAGACAGGGGGTCCTGCTCCTGACCCTTGACGCTGTGATAATGGGCGAAGTTCTGTCCGTCGTCGGCGTTGATGTGACACTTGCCGTTGGTGTGGCTACCGGCAGAGTCTGAGACTGAGTCGGAGATAAGGATGTTACTGGCGTTGCTGTTGTTCTCGGTGCTGCCGGGGGACAGGGTGGATGAGGGAGAGGCAAGTTTGAAGCGGATGTGGCGGGCTTCGGCTGGGGCGTCAGTCAGAGCGGGCGCCATCGCAGCCATGCAGGGCCAAGGAATGGACACGGCAGCCTGCACCTCCAAACCTTCACTCCAGCCCACCTACACAGCCTGGCTACAAAGGGGGGGAAAAAAAAGATTTAGGAGACTGCAAATATACACAATATTTTGAAGGTGAAGACAAATAACAAGAGTTTTCAATATAACAAGAGTATTCAATAATCTTTAATAACAACCTGCTGGAGATACAAGCCATTTAAACTAGTGCACATCATTTCTAATATTTTCACTCAAGCAGACAAGCAGTTTGCAGTCCACTGCACTTCTGTAATCTTCATATTTATGACAAAAAGGTGGGGCTTATTTATTCATTTATCCACATGAATTGTGTAAGATCATTATGACTAGGAGTTTTCTTATCTTAAATGTTTTCTTACAAGACCAAGTTTCAGCAAACCTTATTTTGCGGCTCAAAATTCGGAAGATAAGTAAAATGCCTAAAACATAACTGCAATCTCTGTCTGATATTCCTTCTCCAAAATTCAGGCCAGCAGGCCTTCAACAAGATTCTTTTTTCCCTAACGTATTCATTAAACTTTAACAATAAGCAGCCAGCAGCCAGTAAGCTATTTAGTCCACTTACTGTCTGATAATGAAAATAAGCATTGCACTTGTGTAATCTGCCTATTTAAGACTGAAACAGGATATTCAGCGGGTGGGTCTTTTTTATTCATTTTTTCCACATGAATTGTCTAAGGAGCGTTCTTATCTTAAAGGTTTTCTTACAACAGTCCATTTCGAGCTTCACATTTTTTTTGAGGCATTCATGAGTAAAATACCTGAAACACAACTGCAATCTCTGCCTGATAATCCTTTTCCAAAATCCATGCCAGCAGGCCTCCAATAAGATTAGTTTTTGGGATAGGGAATATTGTTTTGGGAGGGAAACTCTTTGTAATAACATGCAGTGTCGAATCGTTCACAATAAGACCAGGAACGTAAATAGGTCAATTGTGATGCCATACTGATTTTTATTTTAGTATCAATACACTGGATAAATAAATATAAACACAGATCAGAAGATAACTACTGAAAACAGAGTAAGTGGACACAAACAGAAATTTGCGTTATCAGTATTTCTTGGACAAGAATTTATCTGCCCCGATGCTCTTCACCTCAAAGTAAAAAAGGGAATGAGAACTCATTGACCTGAACTGAGCGGGGACCATTACCATAGTCGTTAGTAGGGAAAGACCTACTCTATTCAAGCTTATGTAAGAGCAAGCCTTCTCAGTTTCCCCTCCTCCTCTGGCCTCAGCAGACCATCTGTGTCAACGGAATTAGGAATATGCCTTTAGGCCTCAACAGATAAGAGACTATCTCTTCATAAGTGCATGTAGATGGTTCAACTCATGAATTACCACGTTACAAATACCCATACCTCAATTCCAACAAACACAGCTGTAGAGTATTTCACTACTAACAAAATATGTCAGTGTGGCTTCTTAATTATTATAATAGCCACTGCAATATCAAAGGAGGTATACAGACACACTGACACAAGAGGGTGAAGGATATTTTACTGATGATACATTACTTGCCAGCAGTTTTGCATGAAAAGTACACTCAATAAGTAACTCAATAAATTAACGTTAAGCTAGCTTTTATTTGTCACAATACTACCAATGGTGATAAATGATATTTGTTTACGAACGGCTGCAACTTCACACAAAAGAGGTTTGTTTGTTTTAAGGTCTTTGTCTCTGCTTTGTGAAAACACTTTATAAAGTAAATATTTTATTAATAAGGTTATTATTAGCAGTAACTCTGTCAACTGCATGACATGAAAAGGGATGGTCATGTGATGAAAACATGGTGGTGCCCATGAGGGGGCGACCCGCTCCATCTACAATATAACCGTTTTTTTCTTCTTCTTCTTCTTTTTTTAGCACACTGATATTTTCATTTCAAAAAGTAATGTTCGGTCATTTTAACTGGCAACAAATTAATGTAATATTTAATCTGAAACATTAAAACAAAACGCTGGGTGTGTTCTCAGGGAGTTATGGAGTTTGTCAAATATGTCAAAGTAGTAAACATGACAAATCCGGTTAAGGATTAACAAAGAAGGGGCGAAGGGAGCGTAAAGAGCGCAAACGTTTCTGCGTAATTTCAAATAAAATCAAATAATCGCGCGTTTTCTAAGCATGACTGCTATAACAAGCGACCTTAATACAGGAAATACCGGTATAATACACGCTTCGGATCAATAATAGGTAATACGTATTAGGTTAACGTTAAATTCGTTTATAAAATCTCACACACCAATGCCTAGCTACTTACAACCATAACGCACTTGTGCAATTTTCCGCGTTAGCAGGCATATGCTGAACAGACCACATGAACATTCATACCACTTCCGTGGCGTGCATAAACGAAGGAGCGTTTCAGCTCAGGCTCGAAGACTAACGTTACACGTAGAAGCTCATTAAATACATCGTATGGCGTTTTAATGCATTGCTGCTAAATGTCTCGCAAGCCTCATACTGTAAATGGGAGCATATGCTCTCAAACGGCCTTGCTTACATTATGCAAGTCATTTTAACCAACAACGAGAACCGGTTTGAAACTGATAAGGTAGTACAGACTAAACGAGGCTGCTAGTTGTAGATCAAAACATGAGGAAGATATATACGTCCGTTATAGCTAAAATGGGGAGGGAAGTAATAAATAAGCGCGCGTATGAGTTTATTGCGTGAGAAAGTACTAGATAGTAAATGATTTAAAGCAAACATACGAGCCTTCAAACCCCCATAAATAAAATGATACATAAAAATTATTGCAAATACAACAGTTCCTGGTAATATGAGTTCAACTGGAAGCTCAGATAGGTTTGCAGGCTTAGGTTTATGTAACATAAATGCTGCTGCTGCTCGAGATCGTCCACTAACAAAGAAAAAGGAGGAACCTACCACGTGACAGGCGCGCGATCCGAGGGAATTTCGACAACTATTCCACCTATTTGGCTTCAATCGCACAATAATGTCACCAAAGCACGAAATAAGCCGTTTGGTCAAGCAGCCCCGCCGCCTTTGCCATATCCGTGTCCGCTTCGTGAAAAACAACCCGATTTCAGGAACCCTTTTCGTTATCGGCTCCGGAATCACGAAATGGTTGATACTAGACAACACCTTGTTGCTGCTGTCCCCTTCAGTGGATTATGGATAGCAAATGTATATTTTTTCTGTATATTATGAATCGATGTTTTGCTCAGATACGAGTAATTTTCATATACGCCTTTATTTACAGATTGGAGGTGGCATGGACCACCGGTTTCGAGATCATTTTCTCATCGTTGCAGGGAGAAACGCACGAAAGATGGCGCCTCGTTCGTCTCCCTTGGATTTGAGCCTGACAAATACAGATGCAGAGTGTGTAGCGACTAGCGAGAAGCCTGTAGGCGGGAGACGTTCTCACGCCCGCCGCTAGAGTGAACGCAGAACAGCTATTCACCGGCCGGCCACTAGAGGGGGACCGCGAACGCAAAAAAACATGTGGTATAACGTTACATATATTTCGCCAAGCTCAGCCGTCGTACCAAAAGAAAAGTATTCGAATAAATATTTTAAATAAATTAATTATTTTAAATATTATCTTTAGTTATTCTTTCTTGTTCTTATCCATAATTACAAAATTAATTATGCTCATTATTCTAGGTTAATGTCAAATTACTCACAACAGACTTCATGTAGGCATACTGCCTGTTCTTGACAGAGCTCCATAGCCATCTCTATATCATGTTATATAATACTGTCTTAGCTTCTTTTTTTCTTATTTCTAGGCACTGAAATTAGTTTATTACACTTTATTACTAATTTTAAAACCCATTAATATCAAAATTTTTTTTTTTTAAGAAAAAGCTTAATTTGACTTTTTTTTTTTTTTTTTTTTTTTTTTTAACATATTCATTTATTTATGTTTTCAAGAATTATAAATACAGCCAGGGGTTATAAAATTAAATTTTTTTTTAAAAAAAAATTTTATTTTTTTTTTTTTTTTTTTTTTTTTTTTTTTTTTATACATATCAGCAAATGTATTTATTTATGTTTTCAAGAATTATAAATACAGCCAGGGGTTACATTAGGATAAACAAAACATAATAATAATAACAAAAAGTAGAAATAAAGTCGCGCGTGTGTGTGTGTGTGTGTGTGTGTGTGTGTGTGTGTATATGTGTGTGTGTTATCTGCGATGTTGATAGTTTTCCTTTATTTTGTAGTTTGTGCTTGTTCCTACTGGCTCTTGTAAAGCTGCGCCATCTAGTGTTTGATTGTAGTCTTTCCTATATGCCCTATATTCGATTAAGTCAAAAATAAAGGAATAGTTAATAAATGAAAATGTTGCCGTATATTCACCAACCTGTTAACAATAAAATGTAAGACTAAAAAGGATATGGAAATTATATGGAATATGGAAAATACATATTTTAAACACACACACACACACACACACACACACACACACACACTCAGAGAGAGAGAGACTCTTAAATGGTTAGGATTTAAAAACATTAAAACATTAGTTTACAATCTTAACCCCTTGTTCACACTTAGAAATGAATATTTACAGCAGACTTGCTGGATCTTGATTTGCATTATAATGAAATAGAAACATTGCGGGTATCTTGTAAAATCATACCAGGAAACAACATGAAAATATATGCAGTATGTGCCTTTCAAAAAGGTACATTCTATTCTATTCTAATTTCGCCCAGGTCACCTTTACTATATCATTCTTGCCCTCTGACACTTTCTGCAGCCTGTTTCTCCTCCCTCTCTTCCTCCTCCTTCCCGCACAGACTGGGAAGTAATCCTATATATATATTAGTTTTTCACCCTGTACTTCTTTAAAGGCTCTTCTCAGCTCACTGACATTGTGTCACACAAACAAAGAAAAATGCCAGAAGAAGTTCCTGCCCAGTGCAAGGCTCCCAAAGATGAGCTGGACAAATGGTGAGTCATATTTCAGTAAGGACATAGTACATTAATGCAACATTGAATTTTGAATACTTTAAATATCTGGTGCTGTTGCATGCTTAATAGCTCAGCATGAATTTGTTTTTAGTTATGCACCATCATATCATGACAACTCTATGTACAGTATATAGGTTATGAGTAGTGGTTTGGGAATGAAACTATTTGAAAGGCTAGTTAAAATGTGTGTGTTGGATACTAAATGACAAGACTGAGCACATGGTGCTGGTGGGGGGAGCAGGTTTGGGAAGTGATGATGCAGGTGGAAAATTATCCATGTTAGCCATCATGTTACTAAGTTAAAGCATGTGGCTGGAGCACACATTCCCCTTGGTGCTTGCGTTTGATATCGACAGAGCTTTGGAGATACATATTACGATAGTTTCTGTCATTTTCCAGCATTGTAGGCTTTCACGCACAAATGATTAACCTCCATCTATAATTGTGAACAAAGCAAAGTGCTCTCTTTCTAGGTCAAAAGGTCAGAGGTCAATGCACTCACACAATGACACAATAATGTGAACTTTACGGTGAGTTGCACAAGTTGTGCCATTTACAAAAAAGCGCTATCTACTTTATGACTATTTCTCAACTGATTTAGTCAATAGCACTCATTGTAAATTGAGGTTATCATTTGCGGTGCATCACTTCTGGGTTGTTCGCTTACACATAAAATACAGCATTTGCCAGTTGCATTATATTGCATTATGTATTCAATTCATTAAGTAATCATTCAGAGTACATTTGAGATTACAAAATAAAATTAAACAAAGGCTTGAGTCTTTGCATCCTGAATATGCATGATTGCATACAAGTCAAAAAATAATGATAAACATTTCTCATATTTGCATGCAAAATTCAGAGCAATATGCCAAATTTAGCATGAACTTTAGTAATGTATATGTGTGATGTAAATATAGCCTGGTTTCAAATAGAGAGTGGAGGTGTGCTCACAGCTCACATTTCATCGCCTGTATTGCAATGTCTGCGTTATTTATGAGGGTAATAGTTGCTGTAACGTGCAAATCTGGTCAAGATCTTAAAATCACCTAGTGTGCAAGAATTATCCTTTTTATTCGATTTTAGCACTTGGACAGAGAGATATTTCAAACTAGCGCTCTCTGAAGAAAATCCAAAAATGAAAATGTGTTTAAAATGTACTCACCCTTAGGCCATACAAGATGTAGATGAGTTTGTTTGTTTATCAGCGCAGATTTGGAGAAATGTAGCCTTCCATCACTTGCTCTCCAATGGATGCTCTGCAGTGAATGGGTGCCGTCAGAATGAGAGTCCAAACAGCTGATAAAAACATCACAATAATCCGCATGAATCCAGGCTAAAATATGAGTCCTCTATCCATAATATTGCTTTCTCCAGTGAAAACGTTGTGAGAAATATGCACAGATAAAGTACTGTTTATAAGCCAAAGCAGTCCAAAACAGCTCTAAACAAATATGTGGGTGGGTATTGATGTGAGAGGACAACAGGGGATGGACTTTTTCACTGGAGGACGCGTGATTATGGACTTGTATTTTGGCCAGAAGCAACGGTTTTTGGTAAAAAGTTTGTTTCTCACAAACAGCTTTTCACTTCACAAGTTGTTAATTGAATGACTGGAGTGGTGTGGATTACTTGTGGATTATTGTGATGTTTTTATCAGCTGTTTGGACTCTCATTCTGACGGCACCCATTCACTGCAGAGGATCCATTGGTGAACAAGTAAAGTAATGCTATATTTCTCCAAATCTATTCAGATTAAGAAACAAACTCGTCTACATCTTGGATGACCTGAGGGTGAGCACATTTTTAACAACTTTGATTTTTGGGTGAGATATTCCTTCAATGAGGTCCTAAAGGTATAATAATTTCTTTAAAAATATACAGTTCGAAGTAGTTTTGGTTTGCTTATACCATGTCACACTGCAAGACTTCCCAAAGTATTTAATGCCAACTACCTTATCTTAAAAAAAGCATAACTTTGAAGGCTCTTTCATGTGATGACGTAACAACACCCTCTGACTTCAAAGAATGTGGCCCCTTTGATCTTGACATCCAAAAAATCAATGCACAGACACACTGCACAGCAGAATCATAATATCATAGGTGTACACTATTTCTTTGTTAGCACACTAAACGCACTGTTTATGTGTCCAGTGTTCAGGGGAAGGGTGCAGAGGGCTGTAAGGAGCTGCTGGAAGCTTTTGAGGCCTGTGTGAAGGGGACCACGGCAGCCTCATGAGGGGACATGGATTTACATTTAAATATCAAATACTCTTCTACCTGATTTATTCCTAATTTTGTTATGTTTTTTCATTGTGACTTTTATTCTGTTTGAAATGTATCTGCAGTTTAATGTAGCACAGTTTACGGAGCGTTTCATTACAGTATTGTGGAGCGATTGTTTGTACATTTGTCTTCTGTCTGGATGAATGCATTGATTTGTTGATTCTGATTATTTTTACTGTTATTTTTAACTTAGGTCCTTCCTTTCTGGGTCCTCCAGTGCCCTTGCATTCCCTCACATTGCACTGGACTAAACCATTTTATGGACAGTGAAAGGGGTGCAAGAGCTGGAAAGCAGTGGAATAGTTTATTTTGATCCTGGGAAGTTGTTGTCCTCGTTGGTGTCCCTCATGTTTACTGTGTTATTTGTAACAGTGGAAGAAAGAAGAACCCAGTTTTATTATTATTATTATTATTTTCCAGATTTCACACTGTAATAAAACAGTGCATTTCATTTGATTTTGAATAAATTACTATCAATAACCATGACAATTAAGAGGCAGCCTATACATAACTGTGTTCACTAAATAACTGACACTAAATAGCTTCATAATATTTAATTGCATGCAATGGTTGATTGACCTTTAACTGCAGTGGTTAACATTGGCAGTGCTGCTCAAGTGGTTTCCTGAAAGCGGGCCTGTAAACACAGCAACTGACTGTCAGCACCATCTATTGAAGAAATTCTGATGGTGTTGACAAAACCATTTTCATACTTTTCATCCCATGTTAATCATGCATGCATGTCATGTAGGTTTTATAGTATCGCTAGCAAGGGCCTATATAAGATTAGAAAAGGGTTCACAGAATTGTTGTATTGGGGGTTATAGGCACAATGATGCAAATGAATAATAATAATTATTATTGTTAATATAAAAACTCATATTCATATAAAAATATTTGCAGTTTGTATCACGGTTGTGACAGAAAATAAGCACAATGACATAAAACAACAACAATATACAATAAAAATCATTAAGATACAGATAAAAAGGATTAACTCATACCAGCCTGTGTGTGAACTCGTAAATTATTAACACTTTGTTGAACTGGTCAAGTATTAAAACTTTGATGTTGTTTTTTATTTAGATATTTTATTTGTGTTGTTAATTTTTTTTTTTTTATGTTGACCAAAAGACATGAACGCTTAAAGTAAAAGATACATTTAAAAATGATTATAATAAAATAAAATAATATTTTTCCCATGACGTAAACAATTTGGATACACACGGTGTTTTTTTGTTGTTGTTTTTTTTTAAATGTATTTGTTTGTTTGTTTATTTATTTCCGAGTTCTACGTATTTGGTACTTGAAGATGCTTTTCATTCGGTGCCATATATATATCACTTATATTTCACAAACACAGTTAGGAGGAGTTTCTAAATGGTGTTTTTGTCATGAGGTGATGTCCAGCTGGTAGATACATCTAGAAGCAGGAGCTTACTAACAGGACCTGGCTTTCTGTAATGACATGTACTGGGAACGAAAAGTCTGATCGATTGAGAAGGGTGACTTTGATTGGCAAAGCTATGGTTATTTTACATCTAGTTAAACTAAATGAAAATGATACATGTTGATTAAAAAATTTGATTTAAAATATTTTAATTTCAGTTAACATTTATTTTATTATTTTATTTTACTTTTTAAGTAACAAAAATGTTTTTTTTATGGTTTTATTTAACTATAATAAACCTGCCATATTCATAATGCGTGTGGTTTATAATGCTGCTTGCTTGCTTTATTGTACTTCAAGCTGCATGCATTGCGATATGAAATGGATAATTCTGATACTGCATGATGATTGATCAATACAGTTTTCCAGCTGTGTTAAAGTACACAATACACATTATATGAACACTAAAGCCACACTTAAAAATTAATGAATGCCATTGAATTAGATGGCAAAATATCATATGCAGCTACCATATATCACTAGGCATTTTTTTACAGATGGAAGTTGATAAATTAATTTGTTAAATAATGTAAAAACATTTTGGCTTGACAAGTTTTACTGTTTTTACTGTATCTACTATTTACTGTTAACATGTTTTAGCACTGCTATATTCTTTTAGCATTTGGCTAATGTTAATTTAACATGTTCCTACGATGTTTTAGCACATTGTTTACATGTTTTATCACATTGCTAGAATGTTATTTGCATGGTTTAAGTATGTTTTGTCACCTTGTAAGTTTTAACATTTAGGCGTTGTTGACATTTAGCATGAAGCTCGCATGTTTTACTTTATTTCTAGCATGATTTAGTATGTTGCTTGCATGTTTTTATATATTGCTACCATGTTTCATCACGTTGCTAGCACATTTTAACTTGTTGCTAGCAGATTTGAGCACTTTCAGCATGATGTGTACATTAATGAGGAAAAAAAATTAACTTAAATGATTTTAGCAAATGGCTGCAATATAACAAAGAGTGAAAAATTTAAGGGGGTCTGAATACTTTCCGTACCCACTGTATTGTAGCATGTTTTAACACCTTAGTTTTACCATTTTGTTAAGTGTTGTTAAAAATTTTTACCATGATGATAGCATTATCTAGTATGTTGCTAGCATGTTTCTACCATGTTTCATCTCATTTTTAGCACATTTTATACTGTTGCTAGCATGGTTTAACACTTAGCTAGCAGGTTTTTGCATGTCCCAACATGTTTTAACACTGCTAACCTGTTTTCACATTGTATTATACATTGCTAACATTTTTAACATGAAGCTAGCCAGTTAACTTGTTGCTAGCATGTTTTTTTATTAGGTTTTTCTATATTGCTACCAGTTTTCATCACATTGCTAGCACATTTTATCTTATTGCTAGCATGTTTTAGCACTTATCTAACAATAGCATGTTCCTAGCATATTGTAACATGTTCTAGCATGTTTTATCACCTTGTCAGTTTTAACATTTTGTTAAGTGCTGTTAACATTTTTAGCATGAGGCTAGTGTGATTTAGTATATTGCTAGCATGTTTACATTGCTACCATGTTTCATCTTGTTCCTAGCACATTTTATCTTGTTGCTAGCATGTTTTAACACGTAGCTAGCACGTTTTAACATGTGCATGTTTTAACATGCTTCTAGGATGTTTTAGCACTTAATCTAACAAGTTTTAGCATGCCCTAACATGTTTTAGCGCTGCTAGCATGTTTTAGCATTGTATTAGGTGCTAGCATGATTAGGCTTGTCCTAGCAATTTTAGCATGTTGATAGCATGTTTTAGCACACAAGTCGGAACAGCCTAAAGGTCTGGTGGTCAAAGCTTGAAAGCTCTAGGTTGCATACATTTTTAGTAATTTAGTCTCTAAAGAAGAAGAAGCTTGAATAGTAGATAAGTAGATTAGTATACTGACTTGTCAAACCAACATAATATGCACAACTTACTACAACTTCCAATTCTGTATTGCTTAATTATATTTTCAGTTTCATTTAACCTCTTAAGCTCAGGGGCATATTTTTTTTATTTTCGCCTAAATGTGACATACCCAAATGTTAAAACAGCTATGTTATTTTAAACAAACTATACTCTCTCACACCCTTCCATACTCTGTTTTCCCAAACTATTTGCAGATCTCCTCATTATGCATGTCCAGAGGTTATCAGGGTAGGTCCAAAAAGTAACCTCTATGTTTTAGAGCATCATTCTGTCTGAAAGTGAACCATTTACCATATTACTACCTTTGGCTTCTACTTTAGGGTGAGAAATATGATGGTCGACGGGCTGATGTATGGAGCTGTGGAGTCATACTCTTCGCACTGCTAGTGGTGAGGAAATCACTCTCTCAGAGAGCATTATACTTTCCCCCACTTATCACTTATTAGCCTACTCTTTTTTAGCTCACAGCAAATAACTGAAACACACCTTGCTTGTCACTACCATCTGTGTCTTTGTATCTGGGACTTTCTGTCCGCTGTCCTCAGGGCGCGCTGCCCTTCGACCATGATAACCTGCGGCAGCTGCTGGAGAAGGTGAAGAGTGGAGTGTTCCACATGCCCCATTTCATCCCACCCGACTGCCAGGCTCTGCTGCGGGGCATGATCGAGGTCAATCCTGAACAAAGACTCACGGTGAGGGAGTACTGTGATTAAGCATCAAGCGCACTGTGGTGGTTCGATAACTATAAACATGTCCAAATTTAATTAACTTAAAGGGGTCATATGATGCGATTTCAATTTTTCCTTTCTCTTTGGAGTGTTACAAGCTCTTGGTGCATAAAGAAGATCTGTAAAGTTGCAAAGACTAAAGTCTCAAATCCAAAGAGATATTCTTTATAAAAGTAAGGAGTCAACCACGCCTACCTAAAACGGCTCGTTCTAACACACCCCACATGTCTACGTCACGATGTGAGAAGATTTGCATAACGCCGCCCAAACGTTCACGCAAAGAAAGAAGGCGTAACTTAAAAATATTTGGCTGCACAACTGTTGATAATTCTAATAATAAATCAGCATATTAGAATGATTTCTGAAGATCA